TATTGACAGACGGATTGAGGATGGGTGGATGGATGGATAGATAGATTTTAGGTAACACAGATAAGAAAGATGGATAAATGATAGGTGGTAATGATACAAGCATAGTGAAAGGTTAATGGTCAGGTGTAATTTTCATTGTGTAATTCTTTAAACATGTGTGTTTGAAAATTTGCATGATAGAGTGTTGGGAAAAATTCTGTTCCTTTACTGAAGTAAAATGGTCTCATTAAATAAAATTTGGAAAACACAGGACTAAATTAAAGAAAATATATCACTATCTGAAAAAGATATGTGCACCCCTTGTTCATAGGAACATTACTCACAACAGCCAGATATGGTAACAACCAACATGTCCGTCAACAGATGACTGGGTAAAGAAGATATGGTATATACATACAATGGAATACTACTCAGCCATGAAAAAGAAAATCCAGCCATTTACAACAGGGATGGACCTTGAGGGCATTATGCTAAGTGAAATAAGTCAGACAGAGAAAGACAAATACTGTATGATTTCACGCATATGTGGAATCTAAACAAACAAAAAAACAGAACTCATGGATACAGAGAACAGATGGGTGGTTCCCAGGGTAGAGGGCAAAATGGCTGAAGGTAGTAAAAAGGTACAAACTTCCAGGTATAAAATAAATAAGTTCTGGAAATGTCATGTATAGCATGGTGGCTAGAGTGTAAAAAAAGAAAATATATTAATCATTAGCAATATTAACAATATGTGGACTCACTGACTTAATGCTTCCAACGGCCTTCATCCCTGCCTGTCACCCTTGATCAAGGGTGGGTCTTGGCAGTGAGTAGCCAGCAGCCAGCTCCCTTCAGAGCCCACTTCCTCTCCTTCCTATATGGAATCCCGCTTCCTCCTCTGACCTTTCACACACATTCACCCTGAAAAACTACCTTGCACTCCCAACTCTGACCTGCTGTTTGCTTCTAGAAGTTCCAACAGGTAACAGTGGTGAACACTCTGGTTTTCAAGTTTTCTCTACTTGTAAGTAAAAGCCAGTTCCCACAAAAAGGCAAACACTGCGCTCACTTACCCATGCTCACTAGTGTGTCTAACAGTCTGACCTGCCTGCCCCCAACGCCTGCAGATGCCCCCAAGCTTCCACTGCCCTGAGGGATGGGATCCCCCGCACCGCAGCCTCCAGGAGACAACACTTGGTCTTCTGAAGCTCAGTGCTGACCTGGGATTAGACGAGCCACATGACCTTCGTCCCCTCCTGTCCCTCCAGGCCTGCATGCAGATCGGTGACAAGCAGTGAGGCTGAGTGTGAGGGAGCACGGTGGCCCACCGTGACAGCAGCCCACTCCACAACTTTTGGAGACTCTCCATCACCCCTGGGTCTCACCTCCCTCCCAGACTCACAGACACAAGCCTGACGGCCTCCGTTCCTGCAACACCTCCCAGCCGGGCCACCTCCGAGGTGTTACCTCCAGCCCACAGGCACCCAGGCCCTTAGCAAACATTTCCTTTCCGGCAGCACAGTGCTGGGGATGGGGAGCCCCTCTCCCCAGACTCTACTCATGTTTGTCCCCCAACAGGCATCCTCCATGGTCCCCTCTGTTGAGAGGCAAGCCCAGAGTCTTCAGTCCGGAGTCCCCACAGTCGGAGGCTCTGCCTCTAGCAAGCATTTTCCCAGCTCCACTGACCATCAGCCCGCCCGTCCCCACCCCCCGCCCCAGACACACACGCCTGTGGGATTCCTGCTGCTCAGGGCCCTCCTAGATGTCTCCTCCCTGCCCTTCTCTGCCTAGAGGGTGGGAGTGGGTCTCTCCAGGCCCCCCTCCAACTGGGTGAGCTGGGCCATGCGGTGGGGCTTTCCTCCACACTGGAAGCCCAGCACTGGGGGGACTCACGGCGCTGGAGGTGGAAGGACCAGGTGGGCCCGGTCAAGCCAGAACCTCCAGCTTTTCGCAGGAGAGGAACCAAGTGTTGAAGGCAGAAAGCGAGCTTGGGGCCGTGGGTGGGCACAGCAGGGCGCCCTCAGCAGAGTCGGACTGTCCCGGGGCTGTTACGGGTTTGGGGCCCAGGCTCCAGGAACACCTTCCGGACGCCCCTCATGCTGATTTTCAAAGGGCAGATGAAGCTTCACTTTCAAGTCTGTCCTGGGAACTCCACGCGCTCTGCTGTCAGAGCCACGGACCTGGTTATTTGCAGTCTGCCTGGTATAATTAGCACTTCACCGTGTGTTGTTTGTTTTCTGTTCCATGCATGTTCTCATGTCCCCTGGGACGTGTTTCAGTTTGGGATGTGCCTTTTTTCTTCAGCTGTTTTTTAGATTCAGGCCCCAGTCTCCCTCTAAATACCCAGCACTTCATTGCTTTGAGCAGAGTAATGCTTCGCGCTGTCAGTCACCCACGTTCATCGCTCAAATGAGCCCAGATCATCTTGTCCGTGGGACTGGGTGTGCTTCGCTGTTGTGGTGCTTCCCATGGGCGGGATGCCCTCTCCGTGACTGGAGAGCCGCCTTGCAGAAAACACACCACATGGCGAAGTGGCGAAGGACCGACCGGGACAATGACGGTACAGTTCAAAATCGGACAAGTGGCCCCTGGACAGACAGAGGGACTTTAGCAAAAGTGAGAACAAGTGCAAACCATTCACCCGACGTCTGACCTCTCGCCTGAATGAAGCTGGTGATTCAAAACTCAAGTCAAAACAGGACCTGTGACAAGACTTTGCAAGACCCTGAGTAACAGGGTGAGAATCATCACTGGAGGGGAGGGAAGTAGGGAAGAGAAACACCTGGTCGTGTACTTGGACCTCAAACCAGCACGCTTTCTGGGGAGCGAGAAGGAAAGTGAAGTCCGTACCTTGATCTTGGCTGCCTCCAAGGCTTTTTTGCCGTCCCAGGCCCAGCCTCTCTTTGTGAAATAGTTGACGGTGGCGAACTCGATCAGCGCGGAGAACACGAAGGCGTAGCACACCGCGATGAACCAGTCCATGGCCGTCGCGTACGCCACTTTGGGCAGAGAGTTGCGGGCGCTGATGCTGAGGGTTGTCATGGTCAGCACGGTGGTCACCCCTGTGGTTGTCAACGACAGGGGCGCGGGGACAATGGGGACAAGGATCAGCACCAGCACCGGACCCCAGTGTGACACCCCGGAAGCTGACAGACGGGAAAGGAACTGACACGTCGAGCCCCAGCCCAGACTCCCTCCCTCTTTCTCCAATTTTCGTAGCACAACACATTCATAGCATTTAAAGTGCTGCTCGTTTTAATTACCTTGTCAACTTTCTCCTTCCCCTAGAATATAAATTGAGAGGAGCCGGGATCTGGGTTGGGCTCGCACACATACCCTCGCTGTGTCCCCCGCTGTCCCGATCTGAGCCCCACAGAGAGCTGGGGCTTAACAACAGCGGGTCAGAGGAACTGGGCTTCTTCCTGGCCCTGAAGCCCAGGTCCAGCCGAGAGGGGCCGGGACCTCCCCACCACACCCAGGAAGGGCTTCACAAAGCCTCACTGTGCACCTTACATGTCGTGGGCTCGGGGCGAACTGATGGGACAAGCTTGTCTGCAGACTCCTAGGACCCGCGTACATGAGAAACACTGCTCGGGACACTTCACTCCCCACCGAGGAGGACCCGTGTCCCCTGGAGGCTGCTGTGCAGGATGCCTGCGGCCATCTGCCTTGGCTTCTGGGGAAGTCTGTGCTGACCCTACAGCGGGCCTGGATCCTTGGAGGGGGATGTCCATTTAGGACTCGCAGGTGACGAGCCTCTGTCAGGCGTCTACTATAGTGTCAGACTCTGACCTAAGTTACACTCTGGATGGGTATCATTATCCCAGTCCTGCAGGTAGGTGCTTAAAGATTCAAAAAGAGTTAGGAATGCACCCAAATTCACCAGCTGGCAAATGAGAACCCATATGGGGACCCAGGTCCGCTGGACCCTTAGGCCCACGGAGTTTCCACGTGATCTGCGCTTTCCTTCTCACCGGAGCTTTGTCTGCACGAGGGTGCACGTATGTGCATGGAGTGTGGCTACCACACACCTGTTAGGAGTTGAATTGTGTGTCCCCCCACCTTGAACTCGTATGTTGAGGTCCTAACCTCCAGAATCTCAGACTCTGACCTTACTTGGAAATACGGTCTTTACAGAAGTCGTCGAGGTGAAGTGAGGTCATCAGGGCAAGCTTTCATCCAGCACGACTGGAGCACCACACACACACACACACACACACACACACACACACACGAAGAGCACCAAGTGAAGACTGGAGCTATGCTTCCCCAAGTGAAGGAACTACCAGAAACTAGGACAGAGGCCAGAATCTGATCCTGCTCTCACAGTCAGTCCCCAGAAGAAACTGACTCTGTGAGTTTGGACTTGCAGCCTCCAGAACCATGACGTGGTTCACTTCTCTGGTGGGAGTCCCCCAGCATGTGGGCCTGTTCCTGCAGCCCTGGGAAGCCAGCATAGCACCAAAGGAACGCCACGCTGCTGGTGGTCCTAGCAGCTGAGTCCCCACTCAGTGTCCTCCCTCAGAGGTATTCACACATCCTCATGGAACACAGCGCCCTGCATGCCCGAGGCTTGACGAGACATCAGTAGGCATCTCTGATTTTTCTAAGAAATCTTGTTAATCATCATGCTGAGGAGGAAGGCTCTGTGCCTGACCTTGAACAGGCTTCCTGTGTCTCTTTTAACATCCTCACATGCACTGACGATCTCCAAGAAGAAACACTGTAATTTAGGGCATTCTCCAAACTAAGTCTTTTTTCTCTTTGCCTTTCTGCCAACGTTCCCCTAAAGAGCTGGGGGAGCACTGCCTGGCCACAAGCCAGCCGCCACACCTCCCTCAAACACTCCAGAAGCTAGATCAGGTGAGGCAGGTGAAGCTGGGCACGTGGTCTGAGGTAGTGATGGCGGGGCAGGAGCACTCCTCCCCCAGGGAGTCCAGCAGCATCGGCCGGAAGTGCAGGCCACAGGTGCCTCCTTTGGAAGGGAAGGTACAGCAGGAAGAGCTGAGGTGCGAGCTGTGCTTGACACTTAGACAGACGTGAGCATCCCTTACAACTGACCCACGAAAGGGCTTTTAATATTGCTACTCGAATTTGATGAAAAGAGCTTCCAAGAAAGAGTCAAACACTGAACCTGTAACTGGGCAGGACCCTGAGGGGCCGTCCAGGGTCAGACCCCTCTCCTCGTAACCTCTGCTGCAGCTCCTCCCTGAAGTACCTAGATCATAGCATCTCAGGTACATTTCCTGGGTTCTTCAGATGCTTAAAACCACCACCAAAGGGAAGAAATTAACTACCTGATGATGGAGAGCACGTGGTCCCCAGACCTAGTGCCTGGGGGTTGATGGTGTTGATGTTCTGTTCCCTCCACATCAGCCAATCAGAGGACTGTGCACGAGCTGATCAGGTACCCTGTGACCCTCCTCCCTCACCTGGACTTTAAATAGGCTTTGCTGAAACCTTCAGGGAGTTTGAGGATTTCTTGTGCACGAGCCACCTGTCCTTCTTGCTCGGCCCTGCAGTAAACCTTTCTCTGCTTCAGACTCCAGCGTTTCGGTTTCTTTGCCCTCACGGTGTGTCGGGCACATGAACTTGCCCTCGGTGACATGTATACATATACATGGTAATACACATGATCTTTTATATACATATCATTTATTACTGTCAAATCCCATGTAATGTATTGGTCGCCACTCAGGGGTTAACTTTGAAGTGGCATGCACATTTCAAAGAACAATGGCTGATAATATAGAAAATAGTACTTTATGAGACCTGGGAAAATACAGGAGCAAAATCCCACATAAGACAGATGACTGGCAATTTCAAACCTCAAAAAAAAGAGGCTACAAGTGGAAGGCTTTTCAAAAGGGCGACAATGATTGAGCTGCTCTGCACCTTGGTTCAGAGAGAAATCCTAAAAATCTAGTCCTGAACACTGAATTCATAGCTAATTGGTCCGTTTGTTTTCCAGGTCACAGAACAGGCTGGGAGCACGGGGGGTGGCGAGGCTGTGCTTACCCGGGGTGGTCAGAAGCAGTCACAGGACACAATGTGAAGACCTGGCTTGGGGGACACTCACCAAACACTGTCCTGGCGGGGACCGATTCTCGGTTCAGCCAGAAGGACACTTGTGACAAGATCACGGTCATTATGCAGGGGAGGTAGGTCTGGATGACAAAGTACCCAATCTTCCTCTTCAGATGGAAATGAGCCGTCATGATTGTGTATTCGCCTGCAAATAAACTTACTAGTGCAGTCAGCCGCCTAAATCAAACCCAGCAGTCCGGCCCTGTGATCCCTGCCCCTTCAAGAGTCCGGGACCCTCCCGGCTCTGCACCTTCCCTTTAGACAAGCATTGATTTGTATTGTTTGGGTGAAAGAGAGGATGGAAGATGCATGGATTACTTAAGGGTCATTTTATAAGTAAGTCTTTTGACCCCCCCAGCTTCTGAACAGCCTTTGCTGTGGATGCTTTTCCTGGAGAAAATCAGATTTGTGTGTCTTCCTAATCCCCGGCCACAATCTGTGCCACCCTCACCTGCCCCCCTCACTGCTACAGCCATCAGGATTTCAGGATTTAGCCTCTCCAGACAGACCTCAGGACAGCACAGAGCCCTGCTGCGGGCGGAGGGTTTGCTCCTGGGACACTTTGCAGCCAGGGTGGGCTGGAAGGAGCAGGGGGTACCACCCCCCACAGGCTCTGCACTCCCTCGCCTGGGATGGGGCTGAGGAAAAGCAGCC